TTTTTAATGATATGAAAAATATTTTTCAACAATCAATTTTGATAATTTTATTGTTACATAGGAGAGCAATTAGATTTTTTTTTTTTTTTTTTTGGGTTTGTTTACTTAAATTACAAAATTTAACAAAGAGTAGTAATAATGAGAACTTTAAGTGTTTTTAACGTTAAAAGCTGAAATTCTTACAAATAAAAATCTTATTACAATCAGATAAGAGTTAATTAACTAATTTATTATCAAGTGATAGGCAAGAAAGAGATAATTACTACTCTTATATTTATATTTATGTTTATGTTTTTGTTTTTGGTTTGTTGGTTTTATATTAGTTTTATTTTTTGAACCATTTTGTTATTTTTTGTTAATGTTTAATGTTTATGTTTGAAAGTATGCATATTATTTGGTTGAAATTTGATAAGTCGGATTAGGAGTGTAATCGGACTTCATGTTCTTCATATTTTTAGTCAATTCATTAAAGATAGGAACTTGCGCTCATTACTTCTGTTAGGATTAAGACTTTGGGAGGTTATTTGTATCGAGCAAGGATCCTCTAGAGTGATTTTTTCCTAAAGTTTCCTAGAGTGCTACATTGTGTGGTTGAGATTTACTGGCAAGTCACATCAATTTTTCTGATGTGACTTGCCAGTAAATCTCAACCACACAATGTAACACTCTAGAAAATTTTAGGAAAATTTCACTCTAGAGGATCCTTGGTGTATTTGTATGTATCTACAGAACGATCCAATGTTCAATTAAGAAAAAATGAGGCAATTGAAAAGCATAATCAGCAAAAGAGCTATTTTTCAAATAAACACAACTCAATTCCAATCTACTGCACTGAAGAATAAATACATTTAACTAAACAACGCAAAAATAGAAAAATTCTAAACAGCTAATCAACAAAACAAAACAAAACCCCTGATTTCTCATGCAACTGTAATTCCAATCCCACATTGTTATATTGAAAATATGACTTGAAAATCTTCCAAATACTAAAAAAACAGAGTCTCTGTGGAGAAGAAGAAGGAGACCTTGGCCTGACTCAGACATAGACGTCGGTGATCTGAGTTGTGATTGTTTGTATGCAATATTAATAATTAATTTTTTTATGCAATATTAATAATTAAATTTTTTGTAAATAAATTATTAAGTCAATTAACGATTTTTAATGATATGAAAAATATTTTTCAATGATCAATTTTGATAATTTTATTGTTGCGTAGGAGAGCAATTAGATTTTTTTTTTTGGGGGGGGGTTTGTTTACTTAAATTACAAAATTTAACAAAGAGTAGTAATAATGAGAACTTTAAGTGTTTTTAACATTAAAAGCTGAAATTCTTACAAATAAAAATCTTGTTACAATTAAATAAGAGTTAATCAACTAATATATTATCAAGTGATAGGCAAGAAAAAGATAATTTATCAAAGAATAATAGTTTTTACACCATCAGAAAAATCATAAGAATATTAAGAATGAATATATCTTTAAAATTAAAATATGAACGCAATGAAGGTACTCTGCACCACTATTTTGATGTTACAATGTTCCAAAATTTCCACTGAAGAACTCATTGGCAACAATTTTTTATTCAACTACTTCAAAGATTACACTATTATCAGCTAACCAAACTTTAGGTGATAACAAATATAGTACGGTTAAACACCCAAAACCCATGAGTCTCTAGATACATTAAAGAAAAAAAATAAAATAAAATTGACAAAGTGATAGTGTAATTGGATACCTAGATGGTCTTCATACATAGAGAACACACAAAATCCAAAAACTGAAATATTTTGCGGAGTTGCTAATAGATTTAAAACCTAGGATCAACATTATCAAACAAACAAGAAACAAAAGAGATGCATTCCTTATAAAATAACAAATATATGAAACAAAAGAGATGCATACCTTATAAAATAACAAATATAGTTCGGTTCAACATCCAAAGCCCATGAACCTCTAGATAGACTAAAGGAAAAAAATATATTGACAAAGTGATAGTATAATTGGATATGAGTCATGTGTCCAAAACATTCAAGGTAATTGATAGTAGATTGTGATGTTTTAAGGTGTTTGGTTATTTTAAGATGTTTGATGTTTGAAGGTATTTGAATTTCGAAAGATGTCTATGTTGTTTATGGTTTTGTTGATATTTAATTTAATAAGTTTGGGAGGGTATTTTTGGAATACACAAAAATTAGAAAACATAGCAATTCTTTGATGTTTGAAGTTGTTTGAATTTCGAAAGATGTCTATGTTGTTTGTAGTTTTGTTGATATTTAATTTAATAAGTTTGAGAGGGTATTTTTGGAATGCACAAAAAGTAGAAAACATGTCAATTCTTCACACTTCTATAATAATAGTAGATAGTAGATTAGGAAAGCAAAAAAAATTGACATAATTTGGAAAAAAAAATAATGCTTAAAGATAAATCCAAAAAGATACTTGGCTTATTTAAATGTTTCCCAAAACGCCTTTAGTATGCTATTCTACAACTTTTAAAATATAAATATAATAAAAATTGTTTTTAAATATACTACCATAAAAGCACACCATGAATGCTTGTAATGATTTGCAGTTATGTCACTTCCATGAATCCATTTCTTTTTGGTTTAAATTGATTCAATATAAAACTTTAGCTATTTGTGTCATACCTTTTGAAAACTGTTATTAAATCTTAATCTTATTTTAAAGTAGTTCACTTTAACTATATTTTTATCTTCTCATCTATTAAGTTGCATAGTTCCTATTATAGCTCCAAATTCACCATTGGCACTATGATCGTAGCCAATTTTGGTATTGCTACAGTAAAATGGCTTTTTTTTTTCATTTTACCCTTTGATTTGTTGCCTTATTACATGTATATCTGATTTGGTTAAAAAGTACAAGTTTAGTTCCATTCTAATTTGATGATATCATCAATCTTTATCATACCTACGAAATCTACATTTAGCTATAATGATTGAATTTATTTAGATAACTTTGAATATGTTGAGCAGATTATATCAATAGTCTATATATTTTAGTCATTGTTTGATTTTGGTCTTATAATTTGATTCGATTAATTACAATTCTTATCATTATTTTTTTTTATTAATAATGGAAACATAGAATAGAATGTGTTTTTACAGATAAATATGTAAATTGATTAATTTAATTAATTAATTTCAACCAACTCAATGAATAAAATTTGTTAAAAATCATAACCACATTATTAATTACAATTTACTCAAATATGTAAATATAAATTCCATGGCAATTTATTATTAATTACACTTTCAGTTTTTATAATCTTTAATTGTATTAACTGTATTAATTTGTACAATTTATTATTCCCTGGAAATTTATTTTAATCTTATTTATGATCTGAGTCTAATTTTTGTAATTTGTTTTAATTGTAAAATGTCTTTGTATGGTTTTTTTTCTTGTGTCTATATATATGAGAAGCTCTTTTTGCTGATGGCTCGTCTGTTTTTTTTTTCAGCAAAATGGCTCGTCTGTTTTTTTTTTTTTTTTTTTTTGCCCTTTATATTTTAAATAATTTATTAATGGTGGCCTATATGTTAAGTGAAAATTTTTTTTATAATTACATGAACATTCTTGGTCAATTATAAAATAGGTTTTTTTCATAATTACGCAAATATTCTTGGTCAATTATGAAATATAAATATTTTATTTTTTAACAAAGGACAAATGCACCCATAAAATTTGTTTAAAATATGAATCGGTCCTATAATACTAGAAATTACAATTATAGTTTGTTATAAACTTTAATTCAACACGATACCCAAGGAAAAAAAAACTATTCTCTTATGCAATAATAAATTATCAAAATTATTTATTGAAAAATATTTCTCATATCATGAAAAATTATTAATTGATTTAATAATTTATTTATTAACAAAATGGTTAACTAAAAAATATTTTTCATATCATTAAAAATTATTAGTTTGCTTAATGATTTATTTATAAATAAAACTGATCATTTGTTATGTAAGTATGATTTATATATTAATAAAATTAGTCATTTGTACATATAGATTTTTTTCTACTTCTTGATTAGTTTAGTTACTTATCTCAGTAGTTTTTTTTAGAATAGAGAATTATCTTAATATTTGTTTTATATTTATCTGTTAAGAAAAGCTACACAACATTTTTTTTTGGATAAATTCAGAAGAAATATTAAAAATTCATAAATTCATCCAAAATAATATGGTAATAGAATTGGAGTCAATATCATTAAGTATATAACAAATTAAAAAATAATACATATCGTACCACATAATTCAATTATATATCTAATGATTTATTCTATTCAATTTCATAAAACAATATTTAAATTTTTAACAAATTATTAAAATATAAAACTTAAATATACTATAATAATAACTCGTGTCTTGCACGAGTATGTATAAACTAGTATATAGATATATAAACAGGTGTGCACACATATATTGATGTGCTTAAAATATGCAAATTATATACAGACACTTAAAAATATCTATGAGTGGTTAAAGAATAAGAGAGAAGGATAATATGAAAATATTAAAGAAACTAAAATGGGATGCAAAAATTAATTTGGCATTAAGATGCTTTGTGTGAATCTCAAAATTAATTGAAATGTGCGTAAATTGATCCAAAAATCTGGTCATCAAAAAAACAAAAAATTCATTTGGCATTGGGAAAAAAAATGCCTAAAGGCACCAATGGAGGTGTCCCCTATATATATTGTATAGAGATAGAAGATATAGATAGATATAAAGTAAATCATATAAATGGTCCTTAAATTTCAATTACATCCTTAAAATTTTATACATTAATTCAAAAACGAAACACATTATTTACAAAAACGAAACACATCCAAATCCCAACTTCGTGACCACAAGTTAATTTCCTGTTCATTTTGCTTCTAATTTGTTATCTTTAAAATCTCCCAAAACCCGAATTTTTTGGCAAAACATCACCTTCTGGTGCTATGCATTCAAAATTAAATATAAAATCTACTTTTGGAAATTGTTTTCATAAGCATTGCAATGGGGTTGCTAAGCCAACTCTAGATTAAAAGATACAAAACAAGCTTCATCAAAACATCACAACCAATATACAAAGATATAAACATTAAAAGAAAAAAATTTAATTATCACGGGCACATCCTTTAATCAGCAAATTAAATGCTGATTACTGGATACACCTCGCGCAAACAGACGGTGTCTAAAGCAAACCAAAAGAGAAGAGAAAAGCTTGGTTCCTGCACAGAAGATTTTCATGTTGTTGCAGATTTACGGATCTTTCGAAATTTTTCTAATTGCATTTTCAAACTCTCTGCAAACTTCAATCTCATGATAATCTCATTTTCCACAGGTTAAATGGATCAGCTTCTTCGCAAAAAAAATAACCCGGCTACCAGCAGAAACATTCATTACTAGCAGAACCGAGCTTACCGTTCTTTCTTACCGACTGAATGTGATCTTCAATTTCCAATCTTAGGGGGCTGTTGGAAGTGGACAAGGAAAAACAAACAATTAAATGGAGGAAGAAAAAAGGAAAGAAGAGAAAAAAGACATACATTTGTATTGGGTGATATCAAAAATTAGGATCCACAACAAATTTCAACAGTGGAAGGAAAAAAAAGGAACCTCCCAACCCAAGAATAATAATTAAAAAAAAAGGATAAAATATCTTTAATGTCCCTAAAGTATGCCTTTCGTGTCAATTTAGTCCTCAAGTTTCAATTTTGTCAATTCCATCCTAAAATTATAAATTTTGAATCAAATTGGTCAAATTTCAAACAGCCGTCTAAACTTTAGCAGAATAATAAAAAATATATTTATGGTTCCCTAAAGTACGAGTTATGTGTCATTTTGGTTCCCAAAGTCTATAATTTTGTCAATTTGGTCTCTAAACATAGATGAAGAAAACAAAACATACTCTTAATGTGTTCAGGGGGAAATTGACAAAATTGAAATTTCAAGGACCAAATAACACAAGATGCATACTTCTGACTGACCATACACAAATTTTATATTTATTTTGTAAACGTGACATGAATCGCATAATTTAGAGACCAAATGAGTGTATTTTATCCATAAATAAAAGAGACTAATTAAAACAAATCGTGCAAATGCAAATATACCTTTTTAAGGATCACCTTAGGACCGCCGCTTGGTATAATTGGTTTTATTATCTCAAAAGAGCACACTAGGGATTCGTCAACACTCAATAGAGCACCTACATTATCAAACTCCCCACCATAGTTTGGAGCTGAGAATATCGTGACTAGCCTTCGTTTAGCAAAAAATTCATATCCATCCTCCACCACCTACATTCAATTTCAAAAAATAATCTCAATGTGGACCACTTTCATCAAATGATTATCAGACTCCCATAATTGAATGTAATTAAAAAACAAAAAATAAAAAAAAAATCATATAGCTACCTATCATTTAAAAAATGAAAAAATGGACGGAAAAAAATTTCTTCCTAATTGAGGGGGCTTTGCCCGTCATATCATCTACAAATTATAAAGCCACTAAAATGCTTGCTAATGTTGTGTATTAAATAGAATCATTGCATTAAAATATTTAAACATTTACTATGTTTCTAGTTTGTCACAACTCTGCAAGTGGAAACTGGTATTTAAGCACACCCAAAAAGTTTAGTTACCTGATGACCACGGCAAATGAGGTCCAAGTCATTCTTCTCCAAAAACTCTTCCACCTTGTCAGCTCCAAAAGTACATGAAACACCTCGATCACTATCTGCCCAACCCTCAACCCTAGGGTCGGGATCAGACCAGAGTAGATCACATAGGAAACCACTATCTGGAATTTCAGTGGGCCTCTCAACTTCCCTTATTTGATCCAAACGTTCCAAATCTGGAGAAAGTCCACCGTGCATGCAAAGTATCTTTTCATCAATGAGGGCAGCAACTGGCAAACAATTGAAGCAGTCCGTGAATATCTTCCACAGCCGAACATTGAATCTCCTTTTACATTCGTCATAAAACCCGTAAATCCGATTAATCTTCGCGTCTTCGTGATTTCCCCTTAGGAGGAAAATTTTGTTAGGATATCTTATTTTATAGGCCAAAAGCAAACATATTGTTTCCAAACTTTGCTTTCCTCGATCAACATAATCGCCAAGAAAGAGGTAATTTGCAGCAGGAGGAAATCCACCATATTCAAAAAGTCTCAGTAGGTCTTGGTATTGTCCATGTATATCACCTGTATGACACTTGCAATATTAGAAGAAGTAATGGGAGTAAAAGGAGAAACACAAGAAGTAAACATTAGCTGCAGTGAACCACGTGCTAGTTTAGTGACAATTTCTCTTTAAAATCTTGATATTTTCTCCACTATGAGAAGTGTGCTTGTACCCTAGTTGTTTCTATACAAAAGGAACTCAGTTGGCCTTTCTCGTGCCAATAAATGAAATTATTCATCAGATTTCATACAGAAGAAACACTAAGGCTGTCTTTGGATTAAGGATTTGAGACTCTTTCACTTTTCCCTTCCCTTTTCCTTTCCCTCTACAAATCCCCACTCAAATCATTGATCCAACAAACACAAACTATGTACAGAACCATGAGTGGAATTTCCTAAAATACAAAAAAGATCTTTTTCGAAGTAATTATCTCATCAATTGAAGCTTGAGAAACAAAGAAAAAACATAATCTGAACCTCCTCAAAAGGGGAGGGTATCCAACCTCTCAATATAACATATACTGAGACATACATCATTCCAACAAAGTTTAATATGGTTAATTGTGGATTTTGGGCCTCATGAAGGCTTATTGTACATGTTAGGCACGAACAATTTCTCAAAATGCACCAGGTGAGTATTAAACCATGAGTGGAGAATAGGTATTTTTTTGAAGTAATTATCTCATGATTCTCATAAATTGAAGCATGAGCAACAAAGAGAAAACACGATCTGAACCCTCTCCAAAGGAGAAGTGGAGAAGGTGTCAATAGGAGAAGTGGAGAAACCACTACTGTTATGGATATCATTCCAAGAACATTTAGTAGTGGTATTCCATTCCAAATAGTAAATGCTATATTTCAAGACTTGGTTTGAAACAAACTCATTATGATCTGCCTTTAGTAGTACAGGACAGCTAACAGAGGTTAAAATGCTATAGTGCCTACAAAAAATGCAAAAAAAAAATAAATAAATAACAATAACAATAACAATAAATAAATGAAATCCAGCATTGATTCCGGCTATTATTGCAATTCATACCTCCTAATAATGAAGGAATTTGTTTGATCCTTGGAATTTCATGCAAAGATTACCTATGTAATTTATTAATCCTCCTACAAATGGCAACTTCATTGGATGCATTTTGTGCAACTCTAGATTAGTCAATTAGTACCTAAAGTTCTCAAATTTGAGCGCTTAGGTGGAATCACTCCATTGTCCAAGAAATTATAAGGAGAAAAAGAAAAAAATTACAAAAAACACAATGCTCTCTTTCACACCAACACACCCAATTTATCCAATCATCCAAGAAATACAAATTATCTTAAATTATCAGTTTTTTGGCCTTCGAAATACCAATACACTCTGATATACCGGTACGGTAGGAATAAAAATCATGTGTGTATTGGCCAATTCACAACACATATTGGTTTATAGCTGATTAATAATCTAATTCACACAACCCATGCAGCCTATTCGGCACCTATAAAGTATTTTTTCGTGGGTGATGATTTTTAAAAATTCACATGCCTCACCTGATTCCCAATACATTTTCCTTGATACTCTGACCAACACCAATTCGTCAATACCACAATCTAAACCAGAAAGACCCAATTTTTCTTAATTCCAACATGCATAGATACAAATACATAAAATACACCAACATAGTATGAATCTCCCAAATGTATAATTCGACATCACATCAGTTGATTATGCAATTATTATGCCCATCACACACAAATAACAGACATATTTCATATAAATCCAATAGCATCATCGTCATCGTCATCATCCATGCATCTATAGATAGAGAAACTGACCACAGATCCTGATGGGTGCTTGCAGCTCAAGAAGATTGGGCTGAGAGAGGAAGATTTGGCGAGCGTTGACGCAGAGCTGACGGATCTCACCCTCCGACAGCTGCACCTGTTTCCCTCCCTTACCCTCCAACAACCTCCTGATTATATCCTCCAACACACCCTTATCCATCATACCCTCCATCGTCATCATATTCATAACTTTCTTCGATCAAAATTCTCCAAAATTCAAAACCCACCTCCACAACCCTCCTCCAAACACAACCCACTTCCTATAAATCTATATTATCTAGAAAAAGAAAGTGATACAGAAGATTGGGGATTTTGGATTTGTATATGGATATTGGGTTTGGTAACAAAAGGTTTGTATTGTCCCACCCAAACAATGCGTGGCATGCTCGTCGTCTATATTTGCTTGTTTGTTTTTTTTTCCTAATCTGTTTCTCTCTCTCTCTCTCTCTCTCTATCATCCATGGGAAGACTATGGTACATATAGATGCATTTTTCTTTTTTTATTATTTACACAGACGGCCCTAAACTATTATCAATTTGACTATTTATTTAAATTATAAAATATATAAATAAATTTTTAAACTATTAAAACTAATCACTTTTATCTCTGAATTATTCGCGTAACCCTATCCATTACAGTATTCAATTTTTACGTTTATATAATTTATAAAATTTATTTTTTTTTATAATTTAAGAATCAAAGTTATACTTCTTACATTTTAGATTATCTTCTTATAAATAATTTTTTTTCTTTTTCTCTAAAAAAATATTATTATTATTAACGGTGATATTACATGTACTAATTAATGTATATATTAATATATCAATTAATATTATATTATTACTGATCCTACTTATTATATAAATTATAAATTTTTAAAATTATATCACATCAACTAATATATTAATTAATAAATCAATCAGTATATATAATATTATCCTTTTGTTAATTGGTCCCTCTCTTCTTCGTTTCGGGGAACTGCGAAGAAGATTCATTGCGGTTGAAACCTTCAAAAGGGGAAAAATCGACTATTTACCAAAGATGGCGCGAGAAAGCACGATAGAGATTGAGAATTGGTGTAGACGTGGCGTGGCCAATCATGGAGTGCTGGTCACGGTGATAAAGATGTGTTAAACACACACAATGCTATCCCATATAGGGCTGTTTGTTTGGTACAATTTTGCTCGTACTAATTTTTATTATTATATTAATTACATTTTAAAGCTTATTTTGGCAATAAATTTAAAATAGTCAAAAAAATCATCTATTCTTTCCTTTCTTTTTTTTATACTTTTTTTTTTGTAAAAAATAAAATAGAAAATTGATATGATAACTTGTAGTAAATAAACTTCTTATTTACCAACTTTCCAAACCCAATCGGAATAAATATGATTTTTTGAAAGTGAGAGAAGGGTTACTTCTGATTTCTACTATCATATTGAGCCTATTTGGTAGAGCTTAAAAGCTGTTTAACTCAGCTTTTAGATTATTTTTAGCTATTTTGGTGTGTTTGGTAGAACTTAAGGCTGGTTTGACATGTTTGAAAAAAGTTAAAAAGTCAAAAAGTCACTATCCTATTTAAGTCACATCACCTCTTTAACACACTACTTCAAACCCAACCCAAACCCAATCCATATTTCATAAAAAGTCAAAAAGTGCACTTATTTAGATCATCCCAAACAATCTCTAAATCACTTTTTGTAGCTTAAATTAAGCAAAAAAAGTGATTTTTGGCTGAGTGGCTTTTGGGGTGCTTTTGGATTGAGCTTAAGCAAAAAGCTAAAAATTGAGGGGTAAAATTACTTAAATATCCCTAGTCAATCTCAATTATTACCAAAAACCCAACTATATAAACCCCATATCTCAAACACTGTTCACTTGAGAGAGAGAGGAGAGGCCATTTTCGGCGATGAGGCGATTTTCGGCGAGAAGTTTCCGGCAAGGAGGCTATTCTTAGCAAAAAACCAGAGCTTTTCTCTCTATCTCTCTCTCTCTCCCTCTCTCTCACACTCACAAACCAGAAACCCTAACGCCGCTATGCCTTCAATTTCAGTGTTCTCTCTCTCTCGCGATAGACTGCGTAACGATCGAAACCCTAACCATCGACTGCGTGACGATCGCGATCTGAAACTCTAGAGTCACGATCGATTGCATAACAATCGATGGTGACGATCAATCGTTCGTCGTTGTCCCCCATCCCATATCGCCGTTGTGCCTTCGATTTCAGTGTTCTCTCTCCGGCAATCATGACGATCGGAACCCTAGCTATCGCTTTTCTCTGCGACGATGGATTTTAGGGTTTTTTTTTTGTTGAGGTTTTCAGTGTTTTTTTAATAATAATAAAATAATAATTAAGCATTTTAGCCATTAATGAAATAAATTCTATATTAATTGATACTAATTAATCATTTTAGTATTAATTGATGCTACTTAAGCCATTAATTGAAACAAATTAATTTATAATGAAAAAATAAAATAATTTTACTAAAAATGAAAAAATGAAATATCACTAAAAAAATGATATAAATTGAAAAAAATGAAAGGATTTGTCAAATGAAAAAATGAATTACTAAAAATGAAAAAATGAAATATCACTAAAAAAAATATTTCGATTAATATTGAAATAAATTGTGCAATTATATTCATTAAATAAATTACACAATTTTTTTATATAAATTGCACAATTGCACAATTTTAAATGAAGAAATAAATTGCACAATTGTTATATTATTAATTGTAATGAAAAAAATTAATAAAAACAGAATCACAATTTTTAAGCCATTAATTGATACTAATTAATTTATAATGAAGAATAAGATTAAAAAAAAATGAAATAAAGAGAAAAAAAAGTATTGATGCTAATTAAGCCATTAATTGACATTAATTAATTTATAATGAAAAAATGAAATATTTTTATACTAATTGATGGAAAATTTACCCATAAGTCCTAGTTTTTGAAACGTTGAACCATTTAGTCCTAAAAGTTTTCTTATGCTCCATTTAGTCCCATTTTTACATCAACATGATGTGAATGATGTAAATGATCTGATGTTTCATTCTATAATTTCAAAATTTATTGAAATCTAATGAACATTAGATGTTTTTCATCCTATATTTTTAAACATTATTGAAATTTGATGAACATTAGATGTTTGAAATCCAATGTTTGTAACATGACTCTGATGTTGTTAACATTGTAATGGGACCTTTCAGTCTATAAGAAAACTTTTAGGACTAAACAGTGCATAAGTTATTAATTTGGGATTTATTAGTGCATCCCCCCTAATTGATACTATTAATGAAAATAATAATTTTTGTAATACTAATTATATTAACTTTTATTAATGAAATAATTTTTTTAAAATTAAAACTGAAAAAAAATGACAAAATAATCATTTTTATATCATATAAGGGCAAAAAAGATAATTGCACGGCAAAAAGTTATTTTACAGCTTATCAATCAAATACTACTCTGCTACTTAAAAGAATAATCCCACAGCTGCACCAAACCGGTTAACAACTTATGTTTAAAGCTATAATCTATAATCTGCTAAACTATAATCTATAATCACTTTCCTACAATTTTACCAAACGGGGCCATTATAAACTTTTAACTTACAATAAACTTAAGAGGTTGTTGCACTTTAGTAAGATTTTGGAGCATAAGCTCTGAGGTTCCAAATTCCACAATCCCCAGGGCCAACTCCCAGGATTTTGGTACAGTGGTCCAAGGACTTTCACACTTCCCAAGGCCAACTCCTAAGATTTTGATGCAGTGGTCTTAGGATGGGTCTTTAAGTGCTAAATGAATCGTATCCGGAACTCGTGTGTAGGGTCGAATCATGATAACTGCACTCTCTAACTTAAATGATGTGTCCATTATAGAGTCGGTGCACACACCCAAAATTTGCCCTTCGTCCTACTCCGATTAACTGACATTAGGTAGTTTATTTTGAAATCGACGGAGGACAATCTTAGAAAGTTTACTCATCAACCAAAACTTGTAATAAATTGTGCTAAACATGCTCATTGTCAAATGAAATGACACATCACTTCATATATTTATTTTTTTATAAATTAAATAAAAAATATCAAGATAAAGCTTGTTTTTAGTTTTTCAAAAATACTTTTCAGAAAATTCTACTTTCATATTTTTCATATATTTTTTTTGTTTTTACTGAATTTGTTTAATATTTTAGCAATTTTTTTAATTTTTTGACACATCTAACATAAATGCACATAAAAAGAATAATTTTTTGTAAAAAAAATTGAAAGGGAAATTTATGATCTGGATTGGGCCGTGGTAATGGCCGGACAGATTTGGGCCAAACAAGATTGGGCCAAGGTAGCGCGGCCCATGCCCTGAAAGGATTTGCTCGGTTAAGGCAAGGCGTGGTTGGACCGAGCTACTTGGCTTCATGGTATAGAGGCCGGGCAAGTGAGATGTCCGGTGCCAGGAACGGCGTTGTTGTTCCATGGTTCATAAGTTAGCCCGGCAGGAAGGCCGGCAGCAAACCAGCATGAACTGTCCCGAGCTCGGCTATGCCGAGATGCAGCTGAGCTCGGTCCTCATTGAGCACAGCGAGCGGAGCGCTCTGGCTAGCTGCACAGCACAGCCGTTGATAGCCGAGAAGATTCAGCCCTGCTGCTGAGCTCCCAGTAAAGTGGACTGGCAGTTTGGTTAAGTGGTGTTCAGCAAGATTTGTGCTGACAGATGGGATAGCAGCACCACGTATCGAGAGACGAATGAGAGTAGATTTGGAGCGCAGAAGATATATAAGCGAATTTGCGCCCCCCATGCTGGGACATATGACATTTTGGTGAGATAAACACTAAACACAACTTAGTTCTCTCTCTCTCTCTCTCTCTCTCTATCCCTGCGTGTGTGTCTAACTTGATTGTCAGAGGGATTTTCCAGCCACACACCGCCGGGTAGCTCACCGCTGTTGTGCTCGCAGGTCGATCGGACAGACAGGAGCTTGGAAGAAAGGAGTGCGGGCTTACCTGAATATTTGCTCCCCGCACAATTGGCGCCGTCTATGGGAACTTTGCAAACAAAACATTGTCTTCCAGGCTCATCTAATCGCCGTCTATGGCGAACAACGAAGAGATTCCGCTGTCTGCCGTCGACGGAGTTACCCCGGAGTCGGGCAGACGAAGAGAACGACATCCCACCATCATTCCTCCGATGGTGGACTTGGAGACTTCTCGAGGAGGACACTCAAGAGACACGCGGGATAAGCGCGGAAGAAGTTATGGTCATCCACAGAGTCCAGATGGTCATCGGCGGCGGAGAGAATCGTACGCCAGACGTCTAGAACACAAGCTAAGGGACTAGGACGCTGTCATCCGGCGAATGGCGGCAGAAATGGAAGAGCTGAAGCGGCATGTCAAAGGGAAGGGTGTAGCTGGAGGGGGAGACCACAGTGAGCACACCCAACCCCGCCGTTCAGGCAGTCA